CCCCAAAACCCCAAAACCCCAAAACCCCAAAACCCCAAACCCCAAAACCCCAAAACCCCAAAACCCCGTTTGTTAGCAAATTTATTGATAAATAAAAATAAAATGAGTGTGAAAAATAGGAAAACTAATTCTAATTTTAAGAACGCTAGTGCTTTTAATAATACCTTGTAAGTGTTTTATATGTGTCAATATGAGCAAGGAGGATAGTGGAAGGTTTATACTTTTGAAGTTGTTAAACGGGATGTAGATGTTTTTATTGGGAAAATTAAGATAATAAATAATTTATTGTTAAAACTAGTTTTATTCCATATAATTGCGATAATAATATTCAAATAGAGCATCCAACAATCCTTTTATGATGACTATAAAAAAGGACAGGTCAATCTCTCAAAGGAAGAGTATGGGAAAGCTTCCACCAGAAGTGTATAAGTTTGGAAAAGTTATGAATAATAACTATAAAGCTGGAGTCAGCAAAGATTTCCCTTTCCATACACCTTACACAGAGTTTAATAACCTTACCAAGCAAATATTTGATCTGGACAAACCTGAGTATATTTCTAGGATAAATATGGTAAATATTGAGAATTATCTTATTAGAAGAAAAACTCTAATAATAAAACAATGCTTCCTAAAGCAAGGAGGTCTGTGGGAAAGATTCCCAAAGGTAATATTTCTCAAGAAGAGGCTATTTTTCCAAGAAAGAGTTGAATGTTTAACAGGAAGGAATCTTATGGTACATCCTGGTTTTTAGCTTTAGATGCTATCAAGATAAGGAGGGAAAATAACAAGAAGATTTTTAATATGCAACTAAAACAGGGTATGCCAAAGGAACTTCAGCAAAAGATATCTTTCATGACAAGAGTTGGATCTGTTAAGATGAACAAAGTGTTCAAAACTCTCTCACCAGATGCTAGAAGGTTCGAGTAATTCTATTAAATTTAGGGAACTGAGAAAGGAATCTAAATATTTACCGTTCTCACAGTACTATGGAGATGCTGAGTTCATGACAAAGATGATGCAAAGGTATGGAACCAAATCTGCCATTAGTGATTACTATGACACTTTTAATCAGAAAAATAATCCAATAAAGGCTCCAAGATCTATTAGTGTTGAGAAAATGTAAGTTTTGGTGAATCTAATATTATAGAACTTCTGAGAGTAAAAAGCCACCTACTCCTACTTCAATTTGAAGAATGTCCTCAACAATAGATAACAGAAAGATAACTTCGATTGAAATAGGTATAACCAAAGCTTGTTTTAATTAACTCTTCATAGATTCTTTAAGAGAAGACATGAATAATTCATTGAAGCTAAAATCAAACCCTGCAAAGAAAGCAGTAGTTAATAAATAAAATGAAGGATATTAGGCAGAAGATTGAAGACTCTTTCAAGACAACCAAGATGTCTTCCTCAACTGCAGATACAAAGTAATTAACTCTCCTCATTCTTCAGATATTCTTCAGTGTTCTCAAAACTGAAGAAGGAGAACAACAAGAGAGTTCCCTTGGACACTATTTTTAGTGATTCTCGAAAGGGGAAATCAACGAAGAGATCTCAGCAGTAAGTCAACTTTCTAACACTCTTAGTGACTTCACCTGCGATCTGGAAAAGAAGAGATCAAAGGCAATTTATTCCAATCGTTCTCTCCTTAACAACATTGAAAAAGGAGTAAGGGATTACTTTAAGAATTAGGTGTTTGATTTTTATTGGAACATGAAATCTATCAGACAAGGCAGTGCTGCCAAGGTCCAGCAGTGGATGGAAAAACAGCGTGTAAAGATGTCTGGCAAAAGCACAAGACTATAATTTAGTCATCTTATTGATCAATCTATTAGAAATATATGGGGTTTTGGGGTTTTGGGGTTTTGGGGG